AAGGTAATAATGAGCAAAGCAAGCGGCGACGAATCAGCCGCCATGTGCCCGATGCATCCGTTTTCCTCTGGTTTTTCTGGGAAACCTCTAGCAACCTATCTCTGACAGTGCACCTAGTTCCCAAGGGATCTGATGCGAGCCTGTCGTAGTTGTACCCATTCTCGGCATCGCGTGCATCAGGGTGGGCGCAAGCATGTGAGTAAAGACAGAAACAAGTGCCGTGGTCATCCGTGGTCTTTGTATCCGCCAGGTCGACCCCTAACCATGCGTAAACAACAGATGCGCTTGAAATGGTGCTTGATAGGAGCCTGCCAGGTCGACGTACTAAACCTGCGTACATACACATAACATGAAGAAGTCAAGCAACGTCAATGAGCAAACTGCACAATCGTAATGCCGCAATTCCTGCAATTGCAATGTTGATCCATATTGCGTAAACAGTTTTAGCTTCAGGAGGCGGGGGAGGGAGGGTCCGGACAGAGAAATGCCCCTCTTGCCCAGGACACCGTTCTTTCCCGACTTAGTCAAGGAGCCAGTGCGGTGTTGGCACGAATCTGTGTTGTGTTTTTGGGTGAGCCACCAGCCAGGCAAAGGCCGCGACTACGAGCCGCCAGAGCCGGGACGCTCGCAGGCCGCACAGCTCCAAGAAGCGACCGAGGCCCCAGCATCTGTTTCTCCTTCATCAGGCCCAACTTCAAGCCAATGTCATGCACCAGAGATCCCAGGCTTGCATCCGCAGGGCAGGAGATTGATGCAGTGGTGCCGCTCAAGAGGGACACCTGCAAGGTATGGAAAATCTTCATCGCAGCAAGTGAGAGAGGACCAAGAGACGATGCTTCTGAAGGATCCACCTCGAAGGTAACTTCAGCAATGCCCTCAGCCATTGCACCGACTCGAGTCCCTTCTGCCCGAAATGTCGGGAACTTGAAGCCGAAAGCGCCTTCTCGGGATCGAAATGGCTCTTGCATTATGTTTTCCAGGGTCAACCATGCTTTGAGCCACGAGCAAGTGATGAAGCCTCGGCGCCTGACCCCTTGCCCTTGTAGTTGCTGCCTGAGGTCACTCCGGGCCCTGCCATGGAGGCGTACAGACCTCGCATCGGCATGGGCTGTAAGCAGAGGCGAACATAATCTGCGTGCGACCATGACGAGCACATTCCTCCTGGCAAACCTGGAATCGTCAACGCCAAGCCCTCGACTGACATACTGATCGTAGTCTGCCTGTGGTCCACCGTACCTGCACATTGTCAGGCTGATTCGTTGTTCGTACATCCCGCTGATGTTTTTCCAAACCAATGATTCGAGGACCCGATGACCGGGAAGGTCACTCCGACAGGTACTTGTTGTAGTCTCCGGCCTTGCCTGCAGCTTCATGCAGCTTCACTCACAAGTGCACGAGCCCCATCTCATGGACCTGGCGTCTGAATGAGACTGACAGAGCATGTGCACTGCGCACCGACACCCCTGAAACGGCATGCTTGGAGCCCAGACCACTGAACTGCGTCATGTAGTGTCGCCAGGACCTGGGAGCAAGCCGGATGGCAGATGTCCAAGCTGCGTGTCACAGCCATGCACGCGTCAGACAACGCCCCATATGCCGAGCAGACGAAACAGAACCGAGGGTCTGCTCGGGTTCTCCCTGTCGCTGAGGCCGTCGCGAGTTGCCGCCGACCCAGTCATCGGTGTAGTGGTCGTCTCCTGGTGGGAGATATGACCTCGACGGAAGTGCATTGCTCCAAGCAGCACGATCAAGACGAACGCCGTCTACTTCTTTGAGTGCATTCCGGCCCTCGTGGGCGCCCATGGTGTCCAGAGCCAAGGCTTTCGCTTCACATACTTGTCGTTGAAGTTGTTCTGCGCGTCGGAGGCCTTGCGGGCTCTCCTACAGCCTGGAGCTTTTGCCTTGCCCAAACCACAAAATTCCGCAAATCCGAAATGCTTCCACTCCCAGACTCCTGGCTGAGCGCGGGCCGCACCAGGAGCATTCCTGGCCAGATGCACGGATATGACCGTGGCGGCGGAGGGGTGTGCTGGTAGTGGCAACGGCGGTGGCACTGGTGCCGGTGGCGGCAGCCAGGGAGGCGGTGAGGGTGGTGGAAACCGGCGAGCAAAAACATTTGTGGGGTGCAGCTGCCTCACTCAGCACCAACAGCAAGAAGAAGAAGGAAACAAAACCACCAGGAAATAGTCCATCGTAGCAAATTTTCAACCGATTCTTGGGTAAAATTTGCTGCGATTGACAGGTAAGTCCGGAAATGGCCACTCGCAGCAAATTTTGCCAACCGATTCTTGGGCAAAATTTGCTGCGATTGACTCGTTCGTGGCTATATCTAAATCAAGAAACAGCTCATTAAGGTGACAAAAGATGACAAAGGTGACAAAAATTAGTAAAAGATTATAAACATGTAGGGGAAAAGAGGGCAAGGCCGGGTAAGGGAGGGGGAAGGGGGCGAAGGGCCCTCCTCCCCACACAGCTCAAAAAAAATTGGGCGGGGAAGGGGTGAGATTGTAGCTGAGCGTGTATCCCCTCGCAAGGCGTCAGGAACACAGGCAAACACAGGTGTCAGGAGGCAGGCGGGGCGAGGGCAGGATGGGCAGGGGACGGGTGGGGGGATGGGGAGGGGGCAGCAAGGCGGGTAGGGGGCGGTGGGGCAGGGAGCAGCAGAAACAGGAGGGGGGTGGCAGGGGCGGGAGGTGGGGGAGGAGAGAGCAACGGAGGAAGGGAGGAAGTGCTGCTCCTGCTACTGCTGCAGCTGCTGCTGTTGTGACTGCGACACTGCTACTGCTATTGCTATTGCTACTGCAGCTGCCGCTACTGCTGCTGCTGCTGTTACTGCTACTGCTACTGCTACTGCTACTGCTACCGCTACCGCTACCGCTACTGCTACTGCTACTGTTACTGCTACTGCTACTGTTGCTGCTGTTGGTGTTGCAATCCAGCTTCCAGAAAGAACCTGGAAGCCAGCAACTGGCAGCTAGCAACGCAGCCTATTACTGTTGACCATGCAGCACGGTCATCAGGGAGTGGTGGTCAACAGTGATAAACAGGACATCCAGGCCTGCTGCTGCTACAAGCCATGCCATTTGCGCCGCTCGGGCTCGCGAAGAAGCTAAACAAGTCTGTAGATGCTATCACGCCGAGCAGCGTTGGAGGTCCGCTTCGGGCCGTTGGAACCCAACCCCGTGCACCGAGCATGTCCCAGTACTTTCGAACCCTCTTCCACTGGACAACTTGCACTTCGGCTTTTGGGCCTGAGCTGCGTAAATGGTCCCGGCCGGTTGCCTGTCTTCATGACTCGGACAGCTAGACTATATACTAACTAGATAAACTAGAATAGCCAGGCACCTCCAACATCTGCATTCAACTGTAGCATGCGCTTGCCGACGAAGATTTCTCCGGAGGCTGAGCTTGAAGTCCTCTGAAGCCCTCGACAAGGCCCACGTGGCTTCTGTTCATAGATGTTCAGAGTCATTGTCGCACGACGACATTGACAAGCTGCCGTGGCAATGCCTTAAGTGGCTCAACAAACTACATCCTTTCATGTACATGGGTCGTGGCCGACAGAAAGGGCCAAAACGAGATGACATCTCTATAAGTCAGTGAAGCACCTCTTTCTGCTCTCCACTCACGTTCGCGAGAAAGTCCACACCAGGTTGTGCAAAAAGCCACCACAGCGCGACGTCCTTGGTGTCCTCGCCTACAAAGCGGCTCATTGAGCCCTGCAGCTCCTGCAGAGACCGCAGAGTTTCTGGCAGGTCCTACGCCGGCGGGTTACCAGATGCAATCATGTAGGGCGCGCCTCATCAGCAGGCTTCCGCCGGCGAACGCTGATGTACGATGCGTTTTTGACCTGCAAAAAGGAAAACGGCACCCGGGCAAGCATCTCCAGCTTCTCTCTCAGCCGTCCCTCGACTGAGCATGCAACGACTTCAAAGCCGTGCAGCTGCGACAACAGCAGCTCACCTCGTAGAGCCACGCACTGTCACATCTGGCCCACCACACTTCCACTTATCCGATCGATTCTTTCGTCCTCATGCTGACCTCGCCCAACCTTCGCACCACACGGACTGAAGGATCCCCAGCCCGTGTCTAGGCATGCAGCGCGGCTTGGCCGGGTGCAGCTTCCGATGCCGCACGTACTCATGTTCGCCTCAGGGCTGCGGTTACGTCTTACCGGATATGCAAAAGCTTGGCAACATCCGGACCCGGGTGCAGCTTCCCGCGTTGCAAGTTCCATCCTCGAGGCTCGCACCAGTGCAGAGTGTCTTCCAGATACAATCTGCAGAGACCCGGTCGACTGAAGCAGGTATGCCTCGCTGTGACGCTCTGTGGCAATTCGGAAGAGGCGGGTCAGATGCAACTGGAACAACGCTTCAGACATTTCATGTGGGGTTGTCCCACCTTGAGATGGCCTAGGATCACGATTGCATCCGGCACTCTTGTGGTTGCGGTTTTCCTTACATGGCTAAGTTTCTTGTCGGAATCGGGCTTGTTCCAATCGCTAGGTTAGCTCTGCCTCTCCACGAAGCTGCAGGTCACGTCCCGGTGACACATCGCTGCGTGGCTCACGGCTCAATGAAGGCAATGCATGCTTGACGCGGCGCTCTGGTTTTGCTGAACCAACACGACTCTGTACAGCAGCCATTGCTGCACGTGCTCCTGTAGCTGCCTGTACAACGGAGCAGCACGGCAACAGCTGCAGGAGCATTGGGATGTTGACAACCGGGGATCTGCACCCCCATTGTCCACCGACATTCCTTTGTTTTATCGTCTCTTCAAGTGGCTGAGGTCCTAGCAGCAGTGTCGCTTTTTTAAAAAGCTGGTGACAGGCCGCAGGGAGCTCTCATTGTCTTTTGGATGTCCTGCCAGGGACCTGCAGCATGCGAATACCGCTGGGTTTGCTTTAAGGAACGTGAAAGCCTATAATTTAGCCTCCGTTGCCGTCGTCAGATCTACCTCCCTTGCTTCCTTGGCATCGAGGCGCCGCATGCCGGCCATCATCATCCCGACGAGCTGGCTGCCCCGGTGTCCAAAGTCTTTGGTGTTTCCGGTGGCAAGTCCGTCACCTTCCAGCCTCCTCTTTGGTGCATTCCTGGCAGAACCGTCTCGCCAGGCATGTCGCATGTCTATAGACTCATTTGCCCGTTGTGTTAAGTCGGAGGATGTCTGTGATGGTCTGCGGCCCTGCACAAGTAATCGCTGCACCGTCCTGGATCGGGCGTCAGCAGCGCTGCCTGCTCAGGGCTCAAACTCAAGCACTTCAGCGTTTCAGCGCGCGAATCAGCATGCAAGTCCACGACTCCAGGCTCCCCGCCTTGGCAAGACTCAATGTGAACTTTTCAGTCACGGTCTCGTCCTTGCCCTTCGGAAGTTCGACAGCCTTGGTCTGCTTCGGTGGCGGGTCCTTCTCTTCGTCTTCGTCCTCCGAATCGTCTGAACCCGATGATCTGTAGTCGTCGTAGTCGTAGCACCTGGCTGTGCCAGTGCCGCTCTGATCTGACTTGGCCTGATTACACCTCCGTGGTCGATAAGATCCGCACCCTCGTGAGTGCTGCGTCTTAGTGCGATTGGTGGTAGTTCCCTCGAGGTAAACCGCCTCCAAAGAGGAGCAGGGCAGCAAAACGTCGCTTGCAGACAAGTGTTTCTTTTTCAAGAGTTCTTCTACGCCAGTGTGGATGCCCGCAAATACTTGCTCCTTTGCAGACAACACTCTGAAGTCCAGCAGTACGATTGAGAAAAGTGACCCGCGATCTTCGAAGGTCTTCATAATATTGAATAGCTTGTGCTCGACGCATCATCGCGGAGACTTCTTCAACAATGAAATGTGACACAGGCTAACGTCGGCGTCACTGCTCTCTTGGCTCCGATATTTCCCTCACGGCTTCGGAAACCACGGCTACGTTGTAGATTTGGGCTTGCTGTTAGGGCTCCACAAAGCTGTTGTGGTCTGCGGCTTGCTGACACTTGCATCAGCTGAGACCTTCAAGAACTGTCAGGATCATTGTCTGGTGACGTGCAACCCTGTCGGCATCACCCCCCGTGCCAGGCCTCTTCGAGATCCTCCTTGCCTACATCTCCTCGGCATGCAGGCAGCTTTCAAGACAGGTTTTCGCGCTGACCGTGCCTGTCTATCAAGAAAATCGCCCCTCCATTGTTCGGCGCACGTTGGCAAAACTTCGTCAGCTCCACACTGTATACTCGGGCGAACCAGTCTCACCCCCTTCCCCCCGGAGTGTATTCGGCAGAAGTTCTCACGAACTATACGCGGTTGTTACCAGACCTCCACATCCCAAACCACTTTGACAACAGTAAATCGAGAGGAAAGCCGTGCAGTCGGAAAAATAGCTTGCCGTTACTTTTGCCTCTTCAATGTGATCGCACGTGCATATCAAGCACCAGGCAAGGTAAACATGGGTAAAGCAGCTCTCTGGCATTGCTTTCAAGATAAGCAGCGGCGAATCAGCCGCCATGTGCCCGATGCATCCATAGTCCTGTAGCTTTTCTGGAAACCTCTAGGGACCCCGAGAAGCATTCCACCACTGTGCAACTGATTCCCAAAAAAATATGATGCGCGCCTGTCGTAGTTATACCCACACTCGGCATCGTGACTGTGGTATTTCGCTGAATAGGTGAACGTCCCTCCTGCCAATCGCAGACGCAGAGTGTGACAAGCCTTGACTGTTGCAGTTTTCCCGCTTCAAAAGATAAGGCTAACTCCCTCCTATGTACCGCAAGGAGCTATTCCTGCATACAGCTTCACGACGAAGTCTTCCGAGTCTTCCTCCATCCCGCAGTGGCGACCATGGATCCAGGACTGCCAGCGTGAATTTCTCAGAGGGCTTTTTTGAAGGTAATCTTGCAGAAGCAAACCAACCGTGCTTCGGGTTGTGAGGCGTCCCCCGATCGTGGTGTTCGCGAGCGGGATTCTCCAAACATCTTCGAACCGAAAAATACATCTTTCCCCGGGCGCTACACGCACGCACGCGCACGCACGCGCACACACACACACACATACATACACACACGCCCGCGCGCACACCCGCACACACACACACACACCAAC